GCTCAAGGCCGGTAAGTTCACCCGCTTTTACCCACCTCGGCCCCAGCAAGCTGCCTCTTCCTTTCAGCGGACCACGGTATTTCACGTCTACTTTCTCTTGTGATCACTTTCTTCCTAAGCAAGCAAAACCGCCTCTGCAAGGAAAATAGTGCATAAAGGCGTTCTTCAGGACAGCACCGGGAGACCCCGGCAGAACAATAGGAAACAGGCGAAAGAACGCAGAAAAGAAACAGATAGAGACAGGGACAGAGCGAACGGTCTCGCTCGTCACCGCTCCGCCCTCGGCAACCCGAGGGCATTCGGGTCTCTCGTGGGTCCACTCCCTAAAAAAAAAAAAAAAAAAAAAAAAGAGAGAGAGAGAGAGAGAGAGAGAGAGAGAGAGAGAGAGAGACGAGAGAGAGAGAGAGGAAAAGAGAGGGAGGGGAGAGAGAGAGAGAGAGAGGAGTAGAGAGAGAGAGAGAGAGAGAGAAACTGAGTGAGAGAGGAGAGTGACTGAGTGTGTGGTGGATGAGAGAGAGAGGGGAGAGGGAGAGAGAGAGGACGGGAGCGACTCTTGAGTGAGAGAGAGATAGTGAGATGGCAGCTACAGAATTCACAAATGACTACATCAAGTTCGATCGATAACTTATTGGCGGATGCCCGAGACGTCGAGAGAGCAGCCTGGTCCCCTCACCCTACGAGGGCGACAACAACCTCGTGCTAGCCATCAGCCGCCACGGGCCTAAGCCATGTCGCGCTCGGGCCAAGGAACCCGTCTCTCGCTTGATCTTGACCTCCCCGGGCCTCATGCCCCGGTCGAGTCCCAGGAGCTGGGCAAAGACCATGTCCGGTATCGGAGGAGAGCGACCGAGGGCGTCCAAGCGAACAGGCATTCTCTGAATCTCGACCTCCTGAATGGCCAGGACAGCCAAAGCAACCAGTATGGTGGACGACGAACAGTGCACTTCAGCATTCCTGGATCCCCTGATGCGAACCAGAGACAGACGTTCCAAGACGGCCACCAGGATACCATCCGAAGGAGGTACCGACCTCCGGACCGAACCGACAGCGGAAGCGATGGGGAGAGCGCCGGGGACTGCGTCGGAGTCTCTCCTCGCCTCCTGAAGCTCCTCGAGATCAAGCCCAAGGACTACGCCGAGGCCCAGCGCCTGAAGAAGATGCTGAAGCGGGCCGTCAGCCGACCTGACACCACCTTCGAGGACCTCAAGGTGTACCGCATCGCCATGAAGCGGCTCCGGCGCATCGTCAGGCAGGAGCAAGAGAAGGAGATCATGCGTCAGGAAGAAGAGGAACGACAGGAAAACTTCCAGAAGTTCATCGACAAGGTAGAGCAGACGAGAGCAGCCTCCGGCCGAGGGCTTCCGGGGCGGACAGGGTGTCGTACAAGGCCCCGGAAGCTCGGCCTAACAGAGGACAGGCAGTGGTCATGAATAGAAGCGAATGGCTGGATCGACATGCACATAAATGCAGACACATTCACATTTGCATATGTAGACGAACACACACACACTTGTATATGTGTGTATGTATATATAAGTGTGTATGTATATATATAATAATATATATATTATATATATAATATATATAATAATATATTATATATATAATATATAATATATGTATATATAATATATATACATATATATATTATAATATATATATATTTATTATATGTATATGTATGTTAATATATGCACATACACGCACACACATTTATGTGTTGTGTGTATATGTTTAGATATATCTATATATATCTATATCTATATTTTTATATATGTATAATATATGTATATATACACTAATATATATATATATATATATATATATATATATATATATATTATATATATGTAGCAAATTGCGCATGCGCGCGTGTGTGTGTGTGTGTGCGTGTGTGTGTGTGTGTGTGTGTGTGTGTGTTTGGTGTGTGGTGTTGTTGTGTGTGTGTTTGTGTGTGTGTGTCTTTATACACGTGTCACCAAGACTTGCTCTTGTGTCTGAAATCCCAAGCACAGCGAACCCTAACTCCCAGACGGCATTCCGCGTTCGAACCTCGCCTTTACGGCAGAACATAATGTTCTAAAAGTGTTATAGGCTGCGCGGCACTCTCATCCTTTGGTTCTTGTTGGCACACAATGCCAAGATTCCTGTACGGGGATGCGTGTGTGGCGGGGGATGGGAGGGGGCGGGGTACAGCGGGGCGGTGGAATTAACATAACACGAGCATGACTCCATCTCCTGCCGGGGCTGGCGAGTGGGCGAGATCGAGTGGGCGGAGCCTTCCTGTCATGGCGCAGCAAGCCCTTGGTGTTTGTTGACGGAAGTCTCTGCAAGATAAATATTCTGTTTCTTGGGCGGAAAGGCGAAACAAAATATTTTCTCTTTTGTTTTTTCTTTCTTCTTCATCTACTTATTCTTCCACTTCTCCTTCGGCTTCCCCCTCTCCTTCTCTTTCAGCTTCTCCTTCTCCCTTTCCTTTCTCATCCTTCTCATTCGCCGT